AATAAGAGCTAATTGAGAGTCTACAAATCGGCAAAAGTCATTGGTAAGAGTAATTAATCCAGATGTCGCATCAACTGAGACTTTCCCATTTCCAAGAGCTAACAATTGTTTGGACAATTGTGCAGCACTTTGATCATCTTAAAGTTGAACTCTCATATTAGTGGTTAGCGATAATGTTTTTACGTTATTCCATAAAGGTGATACTTTCAGGCAGGCATTCAATTCATCTGTAGGCGTTCCACGGGAAATTACTGACAACGTCTGTCTGAAATCACCTGCCAACAATATCAACAAGCCGCTAAAAATGTTGTTATTTCGCCGGAGATCTTTCAGTGTGAAGTTAAGTGCTTCAAGTGATTTCTTGTGTGCCATTGTGCACTCATTCCAAACAATGAGCTTGCAATGCATTAACAATTTTCCCATTGCACTGGATCGGAAAATATTGCATGTTGGAGTATCAATTGTGTTTAAATTGAGTGGCAACTCAAGTGCAGAATGTGCAGTACGACCTCCATCTAGAAGAGTCGCTGCAATTCCAGATAATGCTAATGACATGCCAAAGCTATGTCACATCTTGATCGAATAGTGGCCAAAATCAATGAAATGACAAATGTTTTCCCTGTTCCTCCAGGTGCGTCCAGGAAGAATAGACCACCAGTATTATTGACCACCGCTTGCATTAATATTTCGTATACTTGTTTTTGCTGTTCATTCAGCAACGGCACATTATTTCGAACGAATTCCTGCAATGTATCAAAACATTGTATTGCAGCTCTCGATTTAATTCTTGGTTGAAAGCATCGTGCATCGATCGATTTGGCGCAATCATCCCTACTTCAATTAGTAGCTTGTTTGCAATAGTCAATCAATCAATCAATCAATCCTTTATTGTAGATTTCATCGGTTATTTGGATATCAGGATTATTAGTTTGAATGCGCAAGCGATGCAAGATATCTTCACATATGTCGCCTTTGTATTTGTTCCATAATTGTATTGGTTGTGAAGGAAAGCATGTGGTGATGATAATTGCGAACAGCGTTCGTATTTGGTACGTATTTGATGAAACAACTGAATCCGCAAGTGTTAGATCCCAATGAGAATCGTTCTCCAGGAAACCCCAATGTCTCGCGATTTAGTTGGACCGCCAACAATAATTGCAGCAACATCGTTAACGGTGGGTGCATTGAATCTTCGCACATGTTCACCTCTTGGGATACAGTCCGCTCTTATGACAAATTTGTGCGTATCTGATGGCATTCGTTCCAATGCTGTTTTGAACATGTTAACCACAGCAATATTAGCGTGTAAAAATGCTTGCAACTCAATAACTCGTCTCTTTAACTCTTCCTGCATATTGCACCGCACATTCAGCTGATCCACCATCGACGAAATTAAATATATTTGCAGAAATTAATGCTGTTCATTTGGTGTTGGCACCATTGAACCATGCAAATGGTATATTTGTCCTTGTATCTGTAATTGCAAACAATCATTAGTTGAAGATACGGTGTAACTTCTGATCGTGTGATGGTGTAGTGTGTAGTGTGCAATTCATTGTGTTGGTGTGAGTGATTGGTTATGTGCGATGTTTCTTTTACCTTGCAAGTCGGCATGAAGCCGCCTTCTTGAATGATATTAGCTCCAAAGGAAGTCATGCGAAAGCAGTTATTGTATTGAAAGACGTGTTGAAGAAAATGGCTGGAATCGGGGTCACTTCCGCCAAACAATGATTTCAGTGGCGGTGGTGGTGCAAGTAATGGATCCAGTTTTAGTTTTCCACTTGCGCAGCACAATCCAGCCGTTTCTCTTTTAAACTTTAACGCATTGCAATATCAGCATATAGTCGTCATTGGTCCAATATCAAAATTTTTATCATCACTGTAGTTCGCAGTGGGATCATATTCGAATGCCAAGCGATTGTATGATGCCAATGATCTACGTGTACTGATGCGTTCTCTTAACCGGGCATATTATCTGCCTTCGCTTAAGTTTAGTGAATACACTTGCTGCTGGCTTGCGTGTCTTGTGCGGCGGCCGATGTTCGCACGTCGTCCTATAGGCATTTTAGACTATGGACAGAGTGGTGAATTTAAACTCAAATTCACGATCCACATAATTTACACAGTTTAACTTACCACCTTAAAGACAAACGCCTGCCTTAAAGACAAAAATTTTCACAAAACACGTGATCGATTTTATGGTTTCCAATTGAAATGTTAAGCAAAGAATAACTTATTTTACTTTTTTGCACAATTTCACAGTAAACTGTCACATGAATTTAAGGGTGCGTTCGACTTGGACGCTTACGCGCTGTGAGCGCGCCGTGAGCGCGCTTTCATCGTTCGACTTGGCGCTGTAAGTGTCACATAAGTACGCTCGTAGCATCATCGTAGGATGCTCGTAGCACATATTTTGCGCTCACATATGCTCACGCCACAGAGGTAGGGCAGCGTGAGCGTGAGCGTCAGTTGTTTTTACTATCTGTCATTTCATTTATTTATTAATTGTCAATTTCTTTATAATCCCGCAAAAATGGCAAGCTGTATATCACAATTATTTTTTAATATTAATATTAATATTGATTAATTTTAAATTTAATTAATTTTAAATAATTTTAAATTTTAATTTTAATATTACTATTAATTAAGCATAAGCTAACCAAATTTCATTTATTTATTAATTGTTAAATTCTTTATAATCCCGCAAAAATGCCAAGTTGTATATCACATTTATTTTTTAGTATTAATATTAATATTAAATTAATTAATTTTAAATTCAATTAATTTTAAATTTTAATTTTAATGTTACTATTAATTAAGCATAAGCTAACCAAATTTCATTTATTTATTAATTGTTAAACTCTTTATAATCCCGCTGAATGATCCAGAAAGTGATAAAATTTACACAATTACCGTTACCGCCAGTTGCCGCCATTTTGATGCTTATTGACGCTCACAGTATCCAAAACGAACGGAATTTAGTTATCGATTCTAAGCGCTTATCGGCCAAGTCGAACGCTAAAAATTCGTGCTTATAAGCGTGAGCGCTCACAGCGCGTAAGCGTCCAAGTCGAATGCACCCTAACTGAGTTGTGAACACTGAGATGTCAATGTATCTACCGGCAGCGGTTTGGTTTGTAGTACATGCTAAGTATCAGAGATGACGCCGCATGTAGAAAAAGAAAATATGTTTTCCAATTTTCCGTTGAATTTTTTTCAGTTTTCTTAGCTATAAACCTTGCGGAGCCCGAGACCATTCCAACGAATGCAAAATTGTCGAAATCGGTTCGTGCGTTCTGGAGTTATTTCGCCAGGACGGAAAACCCGACTTATTTTTAAATATATAGAAGAAGATATGTAAACAATTAATATTTTGTCTATAACACGCGAATAATTAACGGTACAGTATTTATAAGAATCTAATTGAAAACATTTAATTTCCACGGATATTTCATTAAGGTACGGATAGTTCCAGCAAATTGCCTTAAGGCACGATGCCATATACCACTAGTTTTGATTGCAATAAGAAATAGGACGAAACGCAATTGGTTTAATATGATTAGTTTAAATAAAGAAAAATCTGATTGAAATCAGGTAATTAAGAACTTGATTAGAATCATTCGACATAATATAACTAATTCCATTTTTTGGAGTCGTTAAACTGAAACTAAAGTTGGGATTAATATGTTGAAAGTAGTAAAGTTATGGAACAATACTACAAAATTAGTTTCCTTAATTTGTTAAAATTATGAACATAACACAACTCGTATCCACGCACAATTTGTATATTCATTTACATCCTGATAAGGATGACAATAAAGTATAAAATTACACCTCAAATTGAATTAAATTAATGAGCCATTAAATCAATTAAATTCCATACAAATATAGTGAGAAACATGATAAGAAAGAAAATAGTAAAATTTCCGCAAATATAGAATTGAAAAATAGAATAAATAAAATGAAAATATAAAAATTGTAACGGTTTTAAATTTTAAAATAATATTTTTAAAAAAGTTTATAAAATATTATATGTTATATGAAAATGTTATATGCAAATCGAATAATCTTTGAACCACCTCCAGGGCGATGCTCTCAGAAAAATGAAAGCAAACAGTTATAGCTAACATTATGCTTTTTTATTTATATAAAGCACTTAAAATTAATAATAATCTCATACAATTAATAGAACATATCTTATGTAATAGTAATAATTCTAAAAAATGTCATTTGTACCTATAAAATTTAAATAGAATAAATATAATGATAATTGAAAGATTAGAGAACAAAATTCAAAAATATAATATTATAGCATTCTTTCTAAAATTTGACCGATTTAACATATTTGAAAATGTAACATTGAAACATGAGAATATTATAACTGAATGATCTATAACACTGCGTGACAAAATTAGTACGTTGGATTTTATCCTTAAAATGTAAAAAAAAAAATTTTATAACTTGCTCGCACAAGGCTCAAATTTTGAGTGTGTCTTCTTTTAACTGTTCAGAAAGCATATGTAAAAAACCAGCCCATTCTGACGGTATGCCAAAATATTCAGAAACCTCTGAGACGTAAAGATGTATCAAAATTTTCATTTTCGATTTTTTTGCGATTACTATAACTTACCCTACGGGAAGTTAAATATGTGTAATTTTTTATTGTGTTATGAGAAAAACTATCTAAAGTTCCATTACTTTTTTTTTTCAAATCAGCGTCCTCGAATTACTCAAAAACCATCATAGCATCTCAGGAAAAAAAATTGTGTCACGCAGTGTAATCTATTGTAAATTTGATCAAAATGTTCAATATTTTCATTTTTAATTTATGAATGATTAAACTTTTTTAATTTATAATGATTAGGCTTAAAAATAATGGTATTGAAACATTCTAAATATATAATAATTCAAAAATATTCAAAATAGTGAAAGATAGATATTGCAGTGATCTATTATGTAATTTATATTATAATAAAAACATTTAAGATTTCTGATAATACCTTCCACCGCTCAGCACATTTCTTAGAAAACTCGGCAAATATAACATTTTCATCAGGATGTTTTTTCTTATGCTCTTCCCGGCATGTCTGAACAAAAAATGCGTACGCAGTCATGCGGCCTCGTGGTTTGCTATTAACTTTGTTTCGAGGCATTCGTTTAGAAACGTGAATCTGCTGAACTTGATCTACCTAAAATTATTTAAAAATTATTTATTATCGCCAAGCTCAATAAATAAATATATACATATTCATATACCCGTCAAACGTTGTTTTGCTAAGTATCTCTAAACAATTTTTAGAGAATCAAAAAAATAAATTCTTTATTTTAAATGTGTAAATAAAATTAGCGAATCGGGTTATTTGATGAAAACCTGATCTTCGGGTAGTTAAAAATGAATTACTGGGTTTTGTAAAAATTAATGAATTCATGAAAAGCGCGGTAATAATGTATCAAATTCTTAAAACTTTAAATGTGCCAAATTAATTTAAATATAATCAGTTTCAGATCAGGTTACTCTTATATATATATATATATATATATATATATATATATATATATATATATATAGGCAACGCGTGGCAGGGTATGCTAGTATGTATATATATATATATATATATATATATATATATATATATATATATATATATAAAATATATAAGAGTAACCTGATCTGAAACTGATTATATTTAAATTAATTTGGCACATTTAAAGTTTTAAGATTTTGATACATTATTACCGATAATTCATTTTTAACTACCCAGAGCAAAACCCGATAATTCATTTTTAACTACCCGAAGAAGGTCAGGTTTTCATCAAATAATCCGATTCGCTAATTTTATTTACACATTTAAAATAAAGAATTTATTTTTTTGATTCTATAGAAATTGTTTAGAGATACTTAGCAAAACAACGTTATTGTTTTATATATATATATATATATATATATATATATATATATATATATATATAATATTTTGTATGATTCTGAATTTGATGTTGACATATGTATTAACAAAGTCTGGTAATCGGGCATAATATCAAAAAAAACATGAATTTTTTTCAAAAATTTATTTTAAATCCATATACATTTCGGCTATAATCCTAGCCTTCATTCAGTGGAAACTAAAAATAAAATTAAAACTAAAACAATTGAATTGGAGTGAAAAGAAAAAATAAAATAGTAAATAGTACTTACAATTAGTCAATCTTAGTGTTAAATTGGAAAATTTTAGTAATCCATGGTATCAAGATATGGTAACTACACTATGTATTATAAACATTAAACTTGTAATTACACAATATTTTCACAAAAAACTAATTTAAAACATCACAATTGGATAGTGTGTTGTTCATAGACTGGTTGAAGATATAATGGAGAAAGGACTTTTTAAAAAAAAATTTTTTACCAAAATTCTACACATGTGTGGAACGAATTGCGAATCCTTTGCGCGTCGTTTTTATTGTTTTGTGAGAAATTTGGAAATACTATCTAAATAAAAGAGGTTTGTGTCGCACAGCGTGTTAAGTTCATTCAGTTTATTTATTGTTTTATTGCTGTAAATAGTTAAAAAAGATCCTTCTATAATTCTTCGTTTGAATAAATTTTGTTCGAATTGTAGTACAGTCGAGTTAGAAAAGTTCATATTGTGTTTTAAAGTATAAATATGCTCTGCTATCATAGTTTTAAACTGTTTTGGATTTTTTGAATTGTTTTTATGTTGTTGTAAACGTTTCATTAAGTTCTGGCTTGTTTCTCCTATGTAAATTAAATTACAGTCTAGACAATTAATTTGATAGACGAGATTTCCAAGTCGTTCGATATTAAAAGGGGTTTTTGTTTTGGTAAAAATAGTACTAGTCGTTGAACAAAAATCGTTTACAAGTCGGAGTCCAGATTTATAAAAAAGTTTTTTCCAAGGAACATACAATTCTTTAATGTATGGCAAACATATCACACCAGAAAGAGTTTCTGAGTCAGGTAAATCGTTTTGTACTGTAGAATTGATCATTTTATTCAAAAGGTATGTTCGTCTGTTACTGGTTACGGAGTTTATAAGTTTTATGGTATAGGAGTAATCTGTTAGAATTTTCATAATTAAATTGATGTTGTTGTCCCAAAATGTTTTGTCCGATAGAAGTATTGCGTGGTCAGTTAGATTTATTATAGTACCTATTTTCATTTTGAGTGGATGATAAGGAAAATAATAAGGTAACGTCCAGAGTTAGTTGATTTTTGGTACCAATTTGTTATTAGTTTGTTATCCGTAGTACGCATAAGTTTTATGTCTAAGAAACTTATCGAGTTCAGTGTCTCCAATTCTACTGTAAATTTTAATTTTTTATTGACGTTATTAAATTGATCAATTATCATAGTGACATCATCACTAGGGTACAAGTGATAATGTCATCTACATAACAGTAATAAAAAATATGTTTATTGTAATTTTTAAAAATTGTATTTTCAAGAAGTTGTAAAGATATTTCTGCTAGAGATGGACTTGCTGAAGACCCATTGGCGCCCCAAAAATTTGATAATAGAAAGAGCCATTGAATTCAAAATAAGTGTTAGAGATAATGAACTTGACAGTTTCCCTGAAGCAGTGCAAGGATAAAGAAGTCAACGGGGAAATTTCATCCCATCGGGTTGTTATAGCATCTAAAATAAAGTCTAGGGGTACATTAGTAAAATGTGAGACTACGTCTAAGCTAATTAGTTTGTAGTTGTCTGGTATAATTTATCTTGTGTTTATATATATATATATATATATATATATATATATATATATATATATATATATATATATATATAATGTTGATATATATTGTGATGGGTCTGTTGATTCGGGCAGTAGCATCAAGTACAGAAAAAAACCAAAGCAATTAGGAAATTTGCTACATTAATTCATACGTTTCGGTCTGCATAGAGACCGTAATTCTGTGGAACAAGGACAAAAAACACTACAATAATTCATTCGATACATAAATATATCTATAAGATAGTTAAAATTACACTATATTTTTTTGAATCTAACATTACGCTTAAGCCCTATAATTATACTATTATATGATTTGAAAACATATTTTAAGGCCTGTGTGTAAAAAATTCTAATCAATTACATACAGTAGTTTTTGGATGATGCTACTTTGAATACGGAAAGAATTAAGCAGCATTTTCGACATATTTTACTCTTTTGCTATAGAAAAGTTACTGTTAAAGTCAAAATGAAATTGACCGATTTGTACGGAAATCACGTGTTGATAATATCAAGTGCCAAAATTGGTTTGCTAAATTTCATTCCTGGTATTTTGATATCTAGGATGCACCAAGTCGAAACAGTACAGTTGAATCTGATAAAGACGCGAGAAAGGCGTTAGTTGATGCAAACCAGCGAATAACAATACATGAGGATCCCATTAAGTTAAAATTTATCAAGTTTAACAGTTCACGACCACTCAAAAGGTCTGTCATTTTTCTCACAACTCAATGAATGGTTCTCATAGAAAGAAACGCGTGTCGTCGCACTGGTGTCCGCGATTCGCCTTTGAAAAGTCCTAAAAAATATCAGGTTTTGAAGCGAATTATAACTAGAAATGTTAAATGGGATGTAAAAAATATAATATACGCAATTGCCCATGAAACAAAAAAGAACGTGCTCAAAACAGGTGCAAAGCTGAAATTTGCCAGAAAAAGGAGATGCAGTATGTTTGGTAAGATTTTAAAGAAGTTGTTTATTTTTCAGCTTTCCCAGGAGAATATAACGGTTAATTCGGATGCATTATGTTATCAGCTAAAATGATATATTTCAATAGAAAAGGTCAGAATTAACCCAATCACAAGCAAGGTATAGTCCTGCATCAAGACGGCTTAAGACTTGCATATTTCTCCTTTCAAATCTCAGAATTGTTTTAGAACTTTTTAGTAGCTCAAACTCGTGTAGTCGCTATCTAAATCGCTGTAAATTGCCATTGATTTATTCTTCGTGGTCTTATAACATTTATAATTTTCTTTATGTATGATAGAACAATCCCCATGTTAATTACTTTCGAGCATAGTACTTCTTGATGTAAGATGCAATGGATATGATAAAGATTTGAACCGTTAACTTCATTAAGTTTCTGTTTAAGAAACGCTACGAATCCTTTGTTTTCCCTGTCATTGATATAATAAAATTATAAAAAATTGATATAACTAAGAATATAAAACACTTAAAAATATTACCAGGGAGAATAAATCAATGATTTACATGAATCTAATAATAATTAATAATAATGCAAATTTATTCTTATTACGTGCACCAATATATCGTACAAAACTATTAATGAAAAACACCATGTGTTCTAATGGACGCGTCGAAAGAGATCCGGATCAAGTGTTTCCAACTCCACCATAGACAAGAATTCAATATATTTTAGAAACCGCTACTTATGCCGTTGACAGTTGCGTTGGCGTATATTTGAAACGCATTATTAAGGAATATTCAGTAACTACTGATAAATAAGTATCTTATGAAGCTACAAAGGGAATTATATTATATTAAAAATCTTGGTACGGAACCCAATAAAATTTACACTTACAATTTAAATTATGAAAATCTCTATAAAATATCTGACAATTTGATGTGCATATGTCTAATGATCATGTTTGACCGCTAAAAGACGTTTTTTTAACTTCTTTTTATTGAGAGTCCATAATCGCTAGACCTGCCTCCCCAAAAATTTAATCAATTTTTTATCTTGTCAATACAGTCCGTTCTCTTAAAAACTGAGTTACCGTTTTTGGCACTTTTTGCTCCGTATCTTCGGCAAAAACTAATCAGCCCGTCTCCTTATCAATATGAATCGAATGTTTTTTGAATTATTCAAATCGGTTGATCCGTGTTCCCGAAATCGTCGACGAAAATTTGTATCTGCACACACGCACGCACACACACACACATACATCCATTTTTTCTAAGGTATACCAAAATGACGTAACCTTTGAAACGTAGAGATATATAAAACTCTTCATTTTCGATTTTTTGCGATTACTATACTTGCCCTACGGGAAGTTAATAAACTGTCTGCTATTTTCACTTCACCGAAAAGAAAAATCAGTTTTTTACAAAAAAAAAAAACAAATAGAAAAATTAATACTTTACAGCATATAACAAATGAGAATGAGAGGTCTTCACTCGACACGAGCTCGACCGAAAGTATGCGTTTGAGAATATAACAGGAAAATATAACACTATTATTATCAATATAAAGACATTAAAAAAAATACTTACTTGGTTATGTATTTGCAATTGTTGTTGTTGTTGTTGGATTTGTTTTTGTGGTTGAATCTGAGATTCTTGATTCGTTTGATGCTGCGACTGTTGATTCTGAAAAGATATTCGTTCCTATATAATAATTGCTAGTGGTTTGCCGACTTGAAAATTTTCTGATTCGGATGATTCGAATAAAAAAAATTGATTATGTTGATTGAAGCTTATATACGGGCAAAACGACTCAAACGGCGTATTTATTTAGTAAATATACTATAAAGTGAAAGTTCACCAAAAAAGTCGATAAAGTAAAGATTGTAAATGTAAATTATAATCAAATCAAATGTATCACAAAAATTATTAAAAAGAATTAAGTTTTGAAGACTTTTGAAATATATTTTGAAATCAATTCGCTACAAAATAACCAAAAACTTCTGCCTTACTAATTTAGAGCAATATTCCAAATTTTGAGTCAATTCAAAGCGTGCTTATATTATTTATCAGCAATGTACCGAATCTAAACGAAGCTGTAAAATCATTCGCTTGAGATGGCAAATCAATGCTACTAGTATTGATGGTTTATAGATGACGTACTCGCGTTTAAAGCCATATCGTAGCATAAAATATTCGGTCCACTGGTATATTATTTCATTGTTGGGAATTTGCCAATACTTTTGCATTAAACAACAAATTACCGTTGACTTGCTGCCTGTTCAATTTGTACTGTGTATAGTTTAGTACAGTACTGAATGTACTGTGTATAGTTTGCTATGAACAATAAATCAAAAAAAAAACTTTGTGGGGTGTGTGGCATCGTGCCTTGAGGCAAATTGCTGTAACTTCCCGTACCGTAATGAAATGTTCGAGGAATATTGAATGTTTTCATATAGATTATTATAAATATTGTAATATTGTCGAATATTTATAAGAATTATATAAACTGAATAGCAAAGTTGAAATTATTTGTTCAAAGTATATTAGAACTTTAGTCAGAATTAAAAATAAAATCTGAATTTTCGAAATACAAAAATAAAATTTTTTGTACACATCCATTTTTTCTGAGGTATACACACATCCATTTTTTCTGACAAGGTAACCATCAGGTTTACTCTTCTGGGATCTTAATAAAACTTCGCATGGTTATAGAGTTGATTGTCAAACCGAACACCTATAAATATTAGAGTCCTATGAGAAGCGGTTTAATTATAAAAATTAAATAAAAATTGATTAAAGTTGCGAAAAATGCGCTAAGTCCTATATCTATGCGCATTATCTAATAATGATCATTTTTGACCGTCAAATGCATTTTTGTTTCACTTTTTTCACTCGATATCCGAAACCGCTAGACCTGCAATCCTCAAAATTTAATCAGTTGTTCATTTTGTCAATACAAATAAAATGTTTTTTTTTAAATAATTGAAATCATTCTCTTATCGCTCCGTTCTCTTCAAAACTGAATTACTATTTTTGGCACTTTTTGCCCTGTATCTTCGAAACGGCTTTGCCAAAAACTAAACAGCACGTCTCCTTATCAATAGGAATCGAATGCTTTTTGGATCATTCAAATCGGTTGACACGTGTTCCCAAAATCGTCGACGGAAATTTGTATCTGAACACACACACACAAACTTCTATTGTTTCTAAGGTATGCCAAAATGTTCAGAAACCTCTCAAACGTAAAGATATATTAAAATTTTCATTGAAGATTTTTTTGCGATTACCATACGTTACCCTACGAGAAATTAATAATTAAGTATACATGAATACAGAGCGAATGATGACAATCCAAAGTCATAATCTTTAATAAATGTGCCAATATCTAGTGGCAACATATGAGATGGAAAATAAAGTGTCTCTGCCAATTTTAATTTTATGATACAGTATGTCATTACTAAAAGACGAATGAATCTGATCTGAAGATATTTTGATCCCAATTGCAATCTAGATGTAAGAGACCTTTCTTTATTATACCAAAATTATAATATAATTTAGTACACTAATAAAAGGTGAACCACTTGATTTTCCTTTTATAATTTAATGTTATTTGTCAAACTAATTACTCAATGTCTTTTTATTTTAGACAGATTGTAATTTATAAGAAAAAAAAAAGATGTAAGAGACCTAAGCCGAACAACAGCCTTTATACGGTAGAATCTAACAATACATATTATTATAAAATAACTCACTTTGAATCGCCGAATTATTAAATTTACTTACTTTACTCTACTTGCTCCAAAAAATTAGTCAATATTTCTAGAACATTGCTGTTGATATTTTGAAACATTCCATTCGATCGGGAATAAGTGTCATTATAAACCAGTTGCAGTTTAGATTTTTTAATTGTTTTATCGCGAAACAATAAGTATTTTTTAAAACAACAATTGATGTAAATGTAAAAAATCGACAATTCAAAGTGTATAGTTTTGGAATTATATTCCACATTGTCCGGCTGTTGTTCGGGTTAGGTCTTTTAAATCAAGATTGCAATGAAAATTAACATTTTTATTGACATTTTGGACCAAACCATCTTATACAGATTTATTCGTCATTTGGTAATGGCATATTGTATCATATAATGATACCAAAACGTATGAGGCAACGACAGTTCATCTTCCATCTCATATGTTGACTCTAGATATTGGCACATTTATCCAATATTATGATAAAAATTTATTAAATATTATATTTATTAAATATACTTTAGATTGTCATTATACGCCCTGAATTTATATATAGCTAAATATTTCGTTTATTCGATTCAAAAACACTCATATGTGACACTCTCACACTAGAAAAATGACATAGCTGGCGGGTGTTGCTCAAGAACTAAGGTAATTAGGGTAACACTCATATGCTGACATTATAGTTTTATACTTCAAAATCTTCATTAAACTTATACTATTCAAAAACAAACCAACAGACTCTTATTTTTTACTTATATTACACGTTTGATGGCGTATAAAGGCTGCATAATATGAAGAATATGAATTTCAAACGGCAATATCTCAGAAACGGTGAATCTAATGAAAAAATTAATAGTAACAATTTAATAAAGAATTTTAGAATTAATAAACCTATTTAACATATTTTTTAAAAATTTCTTATGGTTCTGGCGGAAAATGGCGAAAACTAGAATTTTGCACCTTTTACCTTGAATAAAAAAAAATCGCAGATGTCGGATCGATGGGGACTTTTGACATTTCATTTGTAATGGCCTATTTAACATCTGTACCAAATTTCAGCTCTATGCGAATTGTTCCTAACTGAAATCTTAATTTGACTGGGTTATAATACAAAACAATGAAATTATAAGTTCACCGTGTGGTTAATTAATTTAATGTTATGCAGTCCGAAAACGGACAATTGAAGGGCTGTCCGCCTGATAAAAATCCACCAACATGTTCTGAAATCGGGGTTTCGGTAGCAAATGCCACGAATACTTATTATGTCGATAATAAGACTAATATGGAGTTATCTAACGAACAATGAATTGAATCCAAAAATTATTGAAAATAATATTATGCAAAGTAATAGTGTTGCAAATGTGTCTGAAGATTCAATTTCGGACGCAATGGAAGACGATTGTCAAGAATGTCTAGAGACAACTAAAGCTATTCAAATGATTGACAATAATGAAAAAATAATACACAAAGGCAATAATAAAAAACAAAATAATGCAATTAGCTCAACAAATCTAGATAAAATGAGTGATGAATATAACTCAACACAAAGTGTTGAAATTTTGGAGCTGGAAGATTCTAACGCGAATAACATTCGAGGTAAAGACCTTGAGCTGCATGTTCCGATCCGATATGATAAACATGATACTGGGCCATTTTACATTTATGTGGAATCATTGAACAAAAATATTGGACGACTTCACCCGATGGCGCTAGGAAAACTGTTACACAGAGCCCAGTCATCGGCAACAACAAGGTCAAACTAGCTCTTAAGAACGGAAGGATACCAAACAGTCTCCTTAATGGCATTTTTTTTCTAATAATAATCTGAAAGCACATATTCCAAAATATTTATTAGTTAGAGAAGGCATTATATTCGACGTCGATATTAATCTTACTGAGAAAGAAATCTTTGAAGAAATAGAATCAGAAATTCCGATTCTAGAAGTTAAGTGTCGCAACGCATAAAGCTATCATTCAAAGGAACAGAACAAGGTAGCAATACATTCAGTGAAGTGCCGAGTTAGCCCATATATCAAAAAGGTCACACAATGCCATAAATATTGGCGCTTCGGCCATATTAGGGAGAAATGCCGTAACGACCAAAGATGCCCAAAATGTGCTGGATTGCATAGTAAACAGAGTGCTCAGAAGACGCTAATTATTTATGCTGCCTATGTGAAGAAAACCATGAAGCCAACAATAAAAATTGCTGTGTTTACCGAAGGTATAAAAATATTTATAAATTAATGGCGTTACAGAACCTATCATTCTATGAACATAAGAAAATTATTGATAATGACAAATACTCAAAGAAAATCAAAGCAAATCTCATAAAAATAAATTAAGATAAAGATTTCCCTCCGATGAATTTTGAAAAACTAATCCCTAGAACGACATCAGTTAATAATAAATTTAATTAAAATTAAACGGCTAATAAAAGCATCTATGGTCACAAAAAATACATATGGCAGGTCTTTCCGAAACCTGGCTAAAACGGGAGCATAATATTATTAAAGGATATCGATTGTTTAGATGATTGCTATGGTGGCGCCGCCATACCATTGCCATACCAGTTAAAGATAACATAATATGCGAAAAAATCAATCACTCTTTTCAGTGTCACGCTATTCAAATGTGTGCGGTGATTCTGAAACTAGAAAATCCTATATGCATCATTTCTATTTATTGTGCGCCAAACTCTATGGAACATTTTCAAATTATCAATGATATCATCAAAACTATATTCGTACCTGTTCTTATAACAGGAGATTTTAATTGCGAACACTTAGCATGGGGTAGTGAATACATTGATAGAGGAGGTGAGATAATATATAACACAATAGAAGATCTAAACCTGATTATTATAAACGATAGTAGACCTACTACTATCAGCACGCCGAGTAAAAGAGGGACACTTATAAATCTAACACTTTG